CACTTAACTACTCTTATCTGTTTACAGAATATTCACCTGGGTTATGAATCCTTATGAATTATATTTAGGGTGGTCTGTTGATATATATACCATTGCTTATATATTCACCTATAGGTGAAAAATTAGAAATTACACAGTATAGGCTATCAACATTGTTAAGAGTTAAACACTAAGAGATATTGTACTATGTTTTTGTTATTGTTGTTGCTGTTTTAAAGATAGAATGGAAATTCCTGAGGACTAGAACATTCTATTTATTTTGTTCACTGATGTATCTCAAGCTCCTGGAAAAGTGCTTGCTACATAGTAGGCACTTAATTTCTATTTGAAGAAGAAATGAATGAATGAATAAAACTTTGGGGAAAAAGTGAGTGGTTAAGGAGTAAAAATAAATAACTAATAAAACACTATATAAAGCCTTAAATACAGCTACTTTTAAATTGTTATCTGAAAATCACATTAGCAGAGGGTCTGCTTTTCAACTGTGAAGAATTATTACCATATCTACAGAGTTAATGACCACTTCTATGGTACATGGCACTTAATAATTTTATATTGTTTGGATTATGTGCAGTTCCTGTATGAAAGATGGCTAACCTTGCTGGTGATTTTATCTTTCAAATAAGAATAAGTTGTGGATTTCATCAATAGCTCTTTATGCTCTACATATGGAAAGATTTTAGTTACATATACTCTACTTATGGAAAGATTTTAGTCACATATGCATGAAATTTGATTAGAAATCCTCAACTTTATTTTTTAAAATCATTTATTTATAATTTCTCAGCCACTTAAGGCATGATTTAAATTATTTAGTTTTAAGTAAAATTTAACACTTTTTGTGATGTTTGACCGGTACCACTTCAAGCCTTTTAAAGAAGTATTTTGATTCACACTTTAAAAAAAAAGAAATGTTTTAATTTATATCTTTCCTATTTCTAAAAAGGATTGGGAAACCCAATGAATTTCTAAATATTTTCATATTTCCCTTAAATTTTCTGTAAACTTAGCATGGGTAGGATTATATTTGTCAATATAGACATTGACATTGAAATCAGTACAGTTTTCTAAATGTTTAAACATTTCTAACCAAGGTAATAATATACCAAACCCTCTATCAGGATCCAAACAACAAGACAGAACCATTTTAAACATTTAAAACTGAGATAATTGAATTCAGGAAATGATTACAAGAAGGATGGAAGATCTATGAAGCTGAATAGTTGTCCCTGAGATTGGCAGCCAATCAGGGGACAGTCCCTAAGGTAGAAGAACATAAAGGAAAAGTGGCATGAACTCATCATCCAGTTAAAGGAGCTAGAACCACAGAGGAGAAATTGCTAATGTCAGGGATATAAGCAGAGAGGGAAGGAAAAATTCCCGGCTGTTCCCTGTATTGTATCCTCCAAGTTTGGCTAATACCTTCCATTGGCCATACACACCAGAAGCCAGCTGATACAGCAACCTGGGGAATGCCTTCTGCAGGGGTTGTTTGTCCTTGGAAACAAAGAAGAGTCAACAGAATGGATCTGAGGGCAAGCAAGCCAGAACCAACCTTAAACAGAACGGATTATAGCTTTGAAAAGGATGAAACGATGTTACATCGTCGGCAAACCTAAGATATTAGCTGAGAAATCATTAGGACTCATAAAGCACTTTTTTTTTTAACTGAAAAAGGTTAATAACTTTGTTAACCAATACTAATTAAAAAATAGGAAGTGACAAGAAATTCCATTCACATGGCAACAATTCCTACTGCTGCTCCAGCATTAATTCCAATGAAGAGGATGCATTCCTGTCCTGCTCCCGCTTCTACTTGTTCTCTTAACCCGCCACCATGAGGGCTACCACTGGCACCACTTCTACTATTAGGCCATGGCAATAATAAATACTAAGGGGTGGACATACTGATAAGTGGGAAAAGGCTCCATGAAGAAAACAAAACACCAGAAAAGAAAACTAAAACTTGCACTAAAGACATATTACATTCAGATATTTAAAAAATCTGAATTTTGCAGAAGAAAACTATTCATACTGAATTAAAGATTTACCACAATTGCAATGAAACTTGAGCAAAATGATCTTGAAGTTTATTTGGAAAAATGAAAGAGTACAAATATCAGATATATTTATTTTAATTAAAGAAGTATGATGGAGACTTAATCTGTTATTATAATGGAGTATTCATTCATTCATTTGTAAACACTTAATGAACCTCTTACAATAATGTTGTAGGCATTTGTGACACAGCGGCAAACAGGGAATCTGTTTGACAAGATAGAAAATAGACAAATAAAGGGGCACCTGGGTGGCTCAGCCCGTTGAGCATCTGGCTTCGGCTCAGGTCATGATCTCACGGTCTGTGGGTCTGTGAGCTCGAGCCCCGCGTCGGGCTCTGTGCTGATAGCTCAGAGCCTGGAGCCTGGTTCAGATTCTGTGTCCCCCTCTCTCTCTGCCCCTCCCCCACTCATGCTCTGTCTCTCTCTGTCTCAGAAATAAATAAACATTAAAAAAAAAGAAAATAGACAAGTAAACACATAAGTGAAAAATATAATTATAGATCGTGGTAATTTCTATGAAGTTGATTGTGGGACTAAATAATAGATGGAATGACCAGAAAATGTCCCTTTTTTTTTAAGTTCTTATTTATTTGTTTTGAGAGAGAGAGGGATGGGAGGATGGACAGAGGGAAGGAAAGAGAGAGAGAATCCCAAGCAGGCTCTGCACTGCCAGCTCAGAGCTGGACAAGGGGCTCGAACCCACAGAACCATGAGATTATACCCTGAGCCAAAATCAAGACTTGGATGCTTAACCAACTGAGCCACCTAAACAGCCCAGGAAATGTCCTTTTGAAGAAGTGACATTTGATCAGAAACTTCAAATGAGATTCAGCCAGCTCTTGCACAGATGAGGGAGGGAACAACCTTCCTAGTTCAACTAGCTGTGTGGCCTCAGGCAAATCCTTTAATCTCTCTTTCCTGTTCTTCATCTGGAAAATGGGGATACTATAGTATCTACCTTATTTAAGTGTTAAGAAAATGAGTTATGATAGTCTCAAGTACATACAACAATGTCAGAAACATAATAAGCATTCAATGAATGTTGATAAGCTGTTGATAATGCCTGAAACTCCACTAAAGATGGATAGACATGAACACAAAATGTAGCCAAAAAAGAAATAAAAATGTCTAATAATCACACTTTATATACAATTTATTCTTATTAACAAGCCAAAACTCAATGGGAGTCATATGATTTTATTCATTGACACATTTATTTTTTTTTAATTTTTTTTCAACGTTTTTATTTATTTTTGGGACAGAGAGAGAGACAGAGCATGAATGGGGGAGGGGCAGAGAGAGAGGGAGACACAGAATCGGAAACAGGCTCCAGGCTCCGAGACATCAGCCCAGAGCCTGACGCCGGGCTCGAACTCACGGACCGCGAGATCGTGACCTGGCTGAAGTCGGACGCTTAACCAACTGCGCCACCCAGGCGCCCCTCATTGACACATTTAAAACCATTCTATTTAAAATAACATTAAAGAGTAGACTTACAGAATATTAACTCTTAACTTAAAATATTGTTAGAATGATTGAAGGTGTTTATCTTGGAGTAATTTTTTTAATTGAATTTAATGCTTAAAAGGACATAGTGGTGGGGTGCTTGGGTAGCTCAGTCAGTTAAGCGTCCAACTTCAGCTCAGGTCATGATCTCACAGTTTGTGGGTTCAAGCCCCACGTCAGGCTCTGTGCTGACAGCTCAGAGCCTGGAGCCTGCTTCAGATTCTGTGTCTCCCTCTCTCTCTATTCCTCCCCCACTCACGCTTTCTCTCTCTCTCTCTCAAAAATAAATAAACATAAAAAAATTAAAAGGACATAGTGGAAACTAAAGAAATTCGGTTATTGGAACTTGTAGGCAGGAAATAAGAAGTCCGGGTTTCATTATGAACCTTTACACCAAGTTTCTCTGCGTACCACCTTGAAGCTCATTGAAGCTTTCATTTTCTTATATGTAGAAAAAAGTAACATGGGAAAAGATTTCAAAGCTTGTAGCATTTATCAGTATGAAATATTTTTGCATAGGGCCTCCTGGGTGGTTCAGTCATTTAAACATCTGACTTCATGAGTTTGAGCCCTGTGCTGCCAGCACAGAACCTGTTTGGAGTTTTCTCTCTCTCTCCTCTCTCTGTCCCTGCCCCACATGTGCTCACTGTCTCTCTCTTTCTCTCAAAATAATAATAATAACAATAACAATAACAATAACAATAACAATAACAATAACAATAACAATAATAATAATAATAATAATAGATCCTCTCTCTGCCCCTCTTCGTTGCTAATTCTCTCTCTCTCTCTCTCAAATAAAAATTAAAAAACTAGTTTTACATATCCCAAATCTGAATTTGCATCTGAGTTATCAATAATGATTTGAAGGTTTTCTAAAAAAAAGAACTGTGATATATACATTTGGGGAAGCTATAATAGGCTAATGTCTTGATGGGAGTTGGATAAATAAATGTCAACAACATGTTATAAGGAATGCAGAGTCAACATCATAGGAGACATGATTTTGACATTTTAGTTTTTGAAATTTCTGAAAGAATGATAATAATAGGGATATAATAATAATCACAGTGATAAATCTCCTTTTCAGGTGTACCTGAAAAATCAAAAACATCACAAGGAAGATGTAACTTATATATAATTTGGAATTTCTAAGACCCTAGGATACAGAATTCAGCCTTAAGGCATACCCTATGAAAGTCACCTGTTCTTTTAAAGATTTCTACCAATTCCTGAGGGTTGCCACTCTTGTGATCTAACACCAGGAAAATATTTCCTTCTTCTCATGGGCAACCTACATCCAATGATGCAGAAGTGTAAATGCCACACTGTCAATCCCAAGCAATTCTCAAGCTCCCTCTGAGCTCCAGGGCTTCCTGAATTGCAGTTGAACAACTCTGTCAGCCCATTCTTACTTCCTTCACTCTTCCACAGGTGTTTATCTTGAAGGCAGTCTCCAATAAATATTCTACAAGCAAATCTCTGTTTAAATCTATTTCCTGGAAACTTTACCTAAGAGGGTTGATGTCAGAAGTAATTTAAGGAAGCAAGAACAATAATGGTATTTTGGAGTTGAATCATCAGTTGGTCATCTGGCAATGAGGACCTTTTACTGGTAGTAGATAAAACATCATTAACCCCTGGCATAATGTAAATGTGCAGTTGTTAAAATGTTCATCTGTGATAAACTAGAATGGGATTTTGATGAAAGCAAATACACTGGCAGGTGCAGTATCTCAGGCATATCAGAAGTTCAGAAGTAAGAGCTATGAAACTGGATGGAAGTTCTAAATATGAGATGATTAACCACCAACTAAAAGACTATGCATAAAAGCCAGAATACCACCTTGGCAGTTAATGAAGTAACCTTCATTTTTTTTTTTTTTTTTTTTTTTTTTGTGAGTGATTGGCAGAAAACAAAAACCAGCATCAGACCCAGCACATAGTTATAACAGAGTTCCAGAAGAGATTGAATACTCAATCGGGGAAAGTCTGGACCAGCAAGATGCCTGATTGGAGAAATGTAAAGGGTTAAGACATTGAATGGATACATCTGACTCAATGTTCTAGAAAATCTTGAATCAAATAAGATTCCTCTGAACCCTTTAGACATGTAATATTATCTTACTCTATTATGTTCTGCTCTAGTGTACTTCTTTTCTTAAAGATGAAGCAGAGGTTTCCTTCTGGCAGGAAAACACATACACTGCTCTCCTCCTTTCCTGGACACCACAACATAATTTTTATATTCCATTATAACCCAGTCAAAAAGTGCTGGCCTTGCTAACAGAAGAAAGAGATGATACCCTCTTTGAAGTGGCTGCAAGAACTTGTAAGATCAGAACCTGGAAGAGTATGCACGAGACTAGAGTTTGCTTGATGAAAGAGGCAGAATATAAAGTTGAGAAAGTGAAAGTTTACCCATTTAGGAGCAGTCTCCTGTATTACAACATTTAACCTTGGCAAGAATTCAAGGAAGTGGTGCTAGAATAGAGCCTAGATTCATACCAAAAGCTATGATCCATACAAAATGACATAGAAACACTAGATCTTCTGTGGAAGACAATAGAAGACAATGGAAGAATGTGTCAAATGACTCAGAGAAACACGCATCCTAAAATGAGGGTGGGGTGCAGCCTGGCTCTTTAGTCATGTGGCTGGCAAAGTGTTTATTCAAGACAACCATTGTTGAAGTGTATCTCTGCAATCAAAGTTTAAATCAGACACTTGCATTACAAAAAAGAGAGAATCCAACTGTCAGGGAATGACACAACTCTCATTTCCTTTGCTGTAGAGATTGTTTTTTTTTTTTTTTTTTTTACTTTAATGTAGTCTCACATGTCTAATTTGCTTTTGATGTCTATGCTTTAGGTGTCATATCCATGAAATCATGGCCAAGATCAATGTCATGAAGCTCCCCCACTCTATATTTTCTTCTAAGTGTTTTTTAAATTCAGGTCTTATATTGAAACCTTTAATCTATTTTGAGTTGATGTGTATATATGGTGAAAGATAGAGGTCCATTTTCATCCTTTTGCATGTGTCTATTTAGTTTTCCTACAACATTTGTTGAAGAGATGCTCAATTTCCCCACGGTGTATTCTTTGCACTCTGTGGAAGAACAGTTGTCCATATATCCATAGGTTTGTTTCTGCACTCTCTATTCTGTTTCATTGGTCTATATGTCTATTTTTGTGCTAGTATCATACCACATTAATTACTGGGCTTTGTAATATATTTCAAAATCAGGAAGTGTAATACTTCCAGCTTTGTTCTTCCATTTCAAGATCACTTTGGCTATTTGGATTTTATATATTTCCATATGAAATCTAACTTTTTTTTTCTATTTCAGTAAACATGCCATTGGAATTTTAATGGGAATCACACTAAATCTATAGGTTGCTTTAGGTAGTATGGCATTTTAACAATAAATGAATATGGATGTCTTTCCATTATTTGTGTTTTCGTTAATTTCTTTCATCAATGTATTTTAATTTTCAGCTTAAAAATATTTAATCACTTTGGTTAAGTGTATTCCTAAGTATTTAATTGCTTTTGATGCTATTATAAAAGGGATTGTTTTCTTAATTTCTTTTTGGATAGCTCATTGTTAGTATATAGAAATACAGCTGACTTTTGTTTGTTGATTTTTTATCAGGCAACGTTACTAAATTAGTTAATTAGTTCTGACAAGCTTTTAATGGAGTTTTTAGGGTTCTCTATTTATGAAATCGTGTTGTCTACAAACAGACATTTTTACTTCCTCCTTTCTGATTTGGATGCCCACCCCCCATTTTTTTTTCTCTTGCAAAATTTCCCTGACCATGACTCTTAGTACTGTGATGAATAGAAGTGGCAAGAATGAGCGTCATTGTCTTGTTCTTGATCTTAGAGGAAAATATATCAGCTTCTCAGTATTGACTATGGTGTCAGCTATGAACTTGTCATGTATGGTCTCTACTATGTGGAGGTATTTTCCCTCTATCCTCGGTATGTTGAGAATTCTTATCATGGATGGATGTTGAATTTGTCAAATGCTTTTCTCATATCTTTTGACATGATCATATGATTTATATCTTTCATTCTATTACTGTGGTATATTACATTTATTCATTTGCATATGCTGAACCATCATTTCATCCCAGATATAAATTCTATCTGTTCATGGTATATGATCTTTTTACTGTGCTGTTGAGTTTGGTGGCTAGAATTTTGCTGAGAATTTTTGCATCTATATTCGCCAAGGATATTGGCCTATAATTTTCTTTTCTTGTAGTATCAGTGTCTGATTCTATTTAGTGTCAGGATAATTCCAGTTTTGTGAATGAGTTTGGAAGTGTTCCCCCCTCTTCAATTTTATAGAAAGATTGGCTATATATAGAAAGATTGGCTACATATAGAAAGATATGTATACATATATACACATACTTGGTAGAAAACCCCAGTGTAGCTTTCTGACACTGAGCTTTACTTTGTTGGGAGAGTTTTGATTACTGATTTAATCTCTTTACTTGTTACTAGTCTGTTCACATAAATACTTTGTATTTCTTTATGGTTCATTCATAGTAGGTTTATGTTTCTAGGAATTTATCCACTCCTTCTAAGTTATCCAGTTTGTTGGCATATAATTGTCCATAATATTCTCTCATGCATTTTTGTAGTATCAGTTGTAATGCCCTGTTTCATTTAAAATTTTATTTTAGTCTTCTTTCTTTTTTCCCTAGTTTCATTGATTTTTTTTTCTATTGTCTTTCTAGTCTGTTTTTCACTTATTTCTGCTCTTTTATTATTCCCTTCCTTCTACTAGCTTTGGGTTTAGTTTGTTCTTCTTTTTCTTGTTCCTTGATATATAGATGGTTTATGTGACATCTTTTTTCTTTCTTAATGTAGGCATTTATCATTACAAACTTCTCTCTTAATACTGCTTTCGCTGCATCATGTAAGTTTTACTATGCTGTTTTTCATTTTAATTTGTCTCACAATATTTATTTCCTTTTTAATTTTTCCTTTGACCAGTTGGTTCTTCAGAAATGTGTTATTTAATTTCCACATATTTGTGAATTTCCCAATTTTTCTCCTGCTACCAATTTCTAGTTTTATGTCATTATGGTTAGAAAAGATACTTGATATGACTTCAATTTTCTTAAACTTTTTAAGACTTTTTTTGTTTTAAAACTTGTTTTGTGGACTAACCTGTGATCTACCCTTGATAATGTTATATGTGCACTGAATGAGAATGTGTATTATGATGCTGTTGAATGGAATAATCTGAATATGTCTGTTATGTTTATTTGGTCTATAATGCTGTTCAACTCTATGGTCCCTTATTAATTTTTCTGTCTGGTTAATCTACCCATTGTTGAGTGTGGGATATTGACATATCCTTAAATAATTTCTTAAAAATAATTTTATTATAATACAATATAATACAAAAATAATGTTATTGTAAATAATAAAAATAATACTATTATTGTATTCCTGTTTATTTCTCCCTTCAGTTCTGTTACTATTTGCTTCATATATTAGGTGTTCTGAAGTTGAGTGCATATATATTTATAAGTTTGATATCTTTCTAATAAATTGACTCTTTTACCACTAAGTAATGGTCTTCTTTATCTCCTGTGATAGTTTTTTACTTAAAATCTAGTTTGCTTGATATAAGCATAGCCATCCTTGCTCTCTGTAAAAAAGCTGCCAAGAAAGCCACCAATAGGTTTATGGGGACTTCTTTGTATACAATGAATCCCTTTTGCTGCTTTGAAAATTATTTCTTTATTTGAAAATTTGATTTAATATGTTTTGGTGTAGACCTTTTAAGTTCAGTCTATCAGAGCTTCATACATCTGGATGTCTATTTGCCTTCTCAGATTTGGGGAGTTTCCATATATTATTTCTTTAAATAGACTTTTTTTCCCTTTTCTTTTTCTCTTGTTTCCCTTTGGGAATCCTATAATGTATATATTATTTTACCTATTGATCCTGTAAACCTCCTAAGTTTTCTTCACTCCTTTTCATTCTTTTTTGTTTTTGTTCCTCTGACTAGATAATTTTAGATGCCTTACTTTCCACTTGTTGATTTTGTTTCTTCAGCTTGTATGAGTCTGTTGAAATCCTCTAGTGAATTTTTTAGTTCAATTATTATGTTTTTTCACTCCAATATTTCTATTTGTTTTTTTAGTAGAGTTTATGTCTCTTTGCTGATATTCTCATTTTGTTCACCTATCAATTTCCTGATTTTATTTAATGGCCTATCAGTGTTTTCTTATAATTCACTCAACTACTTTTAGACGATCAACTTGAATTATTTATCAGATAATTCATAAAGCTTTATTTATTTTGGAGAAGTTGTAGAAGATTAATTTTTTCCCTTTGTGGCATGTTTTTCTGATTCTTCATGTTCCTCATAGAGTTGCATTGGCATCTGCTCATTTGAAGGAATAGCACCTATTCCCAGACTCATAGAGCAGTGCCAGCAGTAGGAGGACACCAGCTCCTTTCTTTTGTTGCTAGTTGTCCCAGGTGCTCACGTTCTGCCAGTCCTTCAGCACGTGCTGTGAGGTGAGGCCAAACCCAGCCCCTGATGGAGCACACTAAAAGGCTGGGACCAGAATCACTTTGCTTTCTTCCTTCCTTTGAGAGGGAAGGCTTCTGCTCTGCAGCTTTTCCTAGTCTTACAAGCAGTGGTTGCTGTGTGGGATAATTCATCTCTTTCTCTTTATTCCAAGCTGTCCCGGGCATCTAGGCTCTGCTGATCTTTCAATACTCAGCATGAGGGGAAGTAGAAACCAGTGCTTCAGAGGAACACACCATAAAGCCAGGAGGCCAGAAAATCAGAAAAAATCTCGCTCTCACTTTATCCTTGAGGGAGAGGCCATGGGCCAAGGAGATCTTGGCACAGAGCTAACTGGTTTGAGAGAAGAGAT